TCAGTTATTTACTCACTAAATCTGTCTAGTCATATTTCGTTGACGACTACATAAAATGATATTTGTTAAAATTTTATTTTTAAGAATTTTTATTGTAATATCATGTTTTGAATATACTCAAAGTTTAAAGTTGTGTCATTTACCTGAATTCGCGGAATGTATAGTTATACCGGAACCAAAACGTTGCACAAAATTTAATGAATTTAAATCTCTTGGCCGGCGCACCAACGATTATACAAATTCTGTTGAAATGGAATATTCTAATTGTGTAATCTTATATGAGTTTAATGACTGTACAGGGAGTGAGTTAATTTTGCGGAGTGATGTAAACAATTTAGAGTCAACGATTTTTTCTAGCAAAGCTTCTGCAATCGGTCCTTGTATTATATTGAAAAAATATGTCGAAAAAGATAATCTAATTAAAGTTATTCAATTTTTGGAAGAACTTTCACAAAATGAAGATTTTACAAATGTTTCATCAATTGACACTATGAGTAAATCATTGTATTCATTCAAGCATGTCTACAATTACATTAACTCTTTGAATGAACGAGTTAAACTTATTGAATCAAATATTAGAAACGAAACATCATCTGTAACTTTAAATATGATTTGATATATTATAATCTTGAGGTATTCATTTTATTATTTATTGAATTATTCATTTTTCACTGATAAAATTTAATTAATATACTATTTTATTTTGTAGAGTGATCTTAATAAATAAGGTCTTTTACAATATGCACATTTAAAATGAAAATGTATTATAATTCTTACTACTTATATTACTTCTTTGTTTGATTTTTATTGATTAAAATAATAAATCAGTACATTTATACACAATAAGAACTTGTTATAATATTTTAGTTTATATTGATATGAATATAAAGGATATTTATGTATAACCATTGTTTGCGAATTCTATTATCAAAAGTTTAATTTATTATTAATAAAAATTTTTTCTTGGAAATTGACTATTGTTTAAGAATGTAAAATAAAATAAAATCGTATTAATCAAAACTTTATTTATTTACTTACAACAATGATTAAACTTACAAAAGCATAATATTTACATTTTATTAATACTCAAAAATACTTAAACAATATCATGTAGAATTGAAAAACTAGGTTTTAATTTATATGTAAATAAGTTAGTAATTTTATATCTAAGAATGTTTTTTCTTATTAATTTTATTTTTGAGGCAAGAAATAATTTCATGCGTCACTTTATAAAGCTCTCATTTATACAACACTTCATATATGAATGCAACTATACGTCTTAAACACATTATTCGTGAACCATTAAAGTCAAATAAACATGCCATTAAAAATCTTAATATATACTTTTTTAATTTAACTTCATTATATTCTAAATAAAACATAAGAAATTTTATATAATATACTTAGATTATAACAACTAATGTAACAAACTTAATCAAAGAAAATAGATAAAAATTATTTAATATTAGAAAAACTAAATTAAAAATGTAATAAGTTAGTTAAGTTGTCTCTAATAAAAAAAAAAATTATTTTCTATTTGAGAATTTCAAAAAAAAATTAATTCAAAAATAATTTAAATCCTTTTTTTAGAGACAAATAATAAAAAATAAGTTTTTGAAGTAGTTCATAAATACGAAAATTGATTATAAAATAATAACTACAAGAAAATGATTATTGGATCAAAATTTAAATGAGTATTCAGTTAGATCTGGTTCACCCTGTGTAAAACTATAATTTTTCTCAAATTGTAATACAGCCCATAACAAGAATTTGATGAACTAGAAATACGTGATACTAGTGTTAAATAAGTATACGCGTTTAAAAGGCTGTAAAACGTAAAGCTAAATTAGAGTCGTGTTTGAAGAACAATAAGTACATAAGAAAAAAAGAGCAGTCAAATAATTTGAAAATATGAAATAGCCACTCATAATATCATTTATGATGGCTTTCTTATTGGGTTTTCTATTGCCATATGGACAAGGGAAGACTAAAGTAAATGGAAAAGGTATAACGGAGTAATAAAACTGTGAGTAACGGTAGCCTTTGTTTGCTGGTAAATTAAACGTTTAGCAGCCGTCGCCTGTGGGTAGGTAAGAAACGACCATAATGTTCGAAAAACTTATTAAAACTAAACCCTCAAAAAATGAAATAACGTATTTGCCAGAGGGATATTTTAGTTATATTTATACATTAAAAATTAAATAATGGCGTTGCTAAAACACAACTAATACATACAGGATAAAGGAGGGATTATAAAAAAACTTAACCATTGGTATAGGTAACTTTTACAATATGGGTAATAGAAATTAAATTATCATTAAATTCGGGTATCATTGTTTTGAGTAGATCAAGATAATTTCATAATTACTATATCATAAAATATATATTTTTAATCTCAAAAAATTAAAAATGGTAGAACACATCGGCTAATTTTATAGTAGCATTCATTAATCATCGATTATGATGCGTTTAACTATCGTTAGCATACTTTTATCAACGATATGGTAATTATAACTTTTAAAATTTTATTTTTATTCCTTTATTACTACTTTCATTAAAATGTACCCACCATAAACGGATTAAGTCCATTTAATATTATTTTTATAATCTTTAATTAATAATACTTAATGCAATTAGCAATTAAATATTTTGCGAAATTTAAAATTAAACTTAAAAGTAACAATAAAAAAAAAAATTAACTAAAATGCTTCATTTCGTTTGTTAATTATTAATTTTATATAAGACCAAAAATCAATGATAGACAACATTAGATTAATTTTCTTCCAATAATTTACATTAAAAAGAAATTGATAAAAACTTGTTTTATGATTATGATTATAATCAGTGTCTATCAATATAAACTGTGATTATAATTTAATCCTGACATATTTTATCTCAATTAAATTAAAATAAGAAATATATTTTGAAGATAAAAAGAAAAATGTATAATAAAAATCTAATGTATTACATGTAATTTAAAATTCATTCATATATTTTACTGTAAAACGTTGAAAATACCTAGACATCATTAAACTTTCTAAATAGTCTTTGATAATGTCTTATTTCATTTTCTATTGTGTTGTCACGTATTTTGTGTTAATTAAAAAATATATTTAAGATAAAAAAAAAAGAATAAAAATATAGTAATAATAACTTTTATATCTTTTTAATTAAAAAGAATATACGCATTTTCTAGGTTTTTTTGTAGAACGTATAAAAATTAGAAGAAGGTTTAAGTGTTTACAAAATTTTGTGAACTGTTAAATTAGTATAGATATTTATAAAAATGTCTAAAATAAAATATTACCATATAATTGTTTCTAATAGAATCTTTCAAATTCATTCGCTAATACCGGACGCGCATTGGTCTTATATTCCCTCCGCGGACAACCCGGCGGATTGCGCATCACGTGGGATGATACCTTTAGAATTGATGAATCATGAGCTGTATTGGCATGGTCCACATTTATTATCAGGACTACCACTCGAGTCGGATAGTAAAATACCACTTCTGTCAATTGATCAATTTACTGATGTCAAACCAATACCTGTTACAACATTATCAGTTGAAGTTAAAGAAGAATGGTTTGATCGGTTTTCTTCGTATTGGCGTATGATTCGTGTCGTCGCGAGGCTACGGCGTGTTTTGCTATGTCATCGTAAGCAAATCAAATCCACGGATTTTTTAACTCGTACAGAGTTAGATCAGGCAGCTAATGTGATCGCATTGGTAGCTCAGGCGTCTTCCCTTGGCACACTTTTACATGAACTGAAACATAACTTACCCGTATCTTGTCAACCTATTGCTTGCTTAAGACCCTTCATAGACGCTGCTGGTTTGATTCGGGTCGGTGGTAGATTGGTGCATTCTGATTTGTCAGAAAATCAAAACCCCATATTGGTGTTNCAGAAAATCAAAAGCATCCCATATTGGTGCCAAAGTCTTCACATATGGCTTTATTATTTGTACGACACTGGCATGAGCTTNTATGGCTTTATTACTTGTACGACACTGGCATGAGCTTACTGGACACAGTGGTCCACGTGTATTAACATCAATAATTGGTCGTAAATTTTGGATTCCTTCTATACGATCTCTCATTCGCTATGTAGTTAGTAAGTGTACTAAGTGTGTACGGTTATCTGGAATAAATTCGCAGCCATTGATGTCGAACTTGTCACGATCTCGAGTATCAGAATGTCGGCCATTCTCTCGGGTTGGAATTGATTTCGCTGGCCCATTTCTCACGCGTGAACAACGATTACGTAAATCGCGTCAATACAAAGGTATATCGCAGTATTCGTATGTTTTACGATTAAAGCAATACATTTAGAATTCGTCTCAGAATTGTCTACAGATGCTTTTTAGCGGCATTAAGTAGGTTCGTTGCCCGTCGAGGCTTACCGGATGACATATATACCGACTGCGGCACGAACTTTATTGGTGCGCAAAGGCAACTTTATGAGATAATAAATAGACTAGAAAATAGAGACATCATTAGTGCTGGTGCTCATAGTCATTGGCACTTTAATCCTCCTAGCGCACCACATTTTGGAGGGTTATGGGAGGCAGCAGTACGTTCTGCAAAGATGTTGATGGTTCGTATCATGGGGGAGCAAAACTTCACTCTAGAAGAATTTTCAACTATGTTGTGTCGCATCGAGGGAATTTTAAATTCTCGACCATTGACGCCTTCCTCTTCTGATCCATCAGAGCTGGATTGTCTAACTCCCGGACATTTCCTGATCGGGCAGCCACTGTTGGCTGTTCCCAAAGAGACGATACCAGTTACTTTACGGAAAATTATTAACCGATGGAAGCTCCTCAATCAATGTGTTCAGTCGTTTTGGCGCCGTTGGCATCTTGAGTATTTACAAACCTTGCAAACTCGGACAATACTCATTTCTAGTCTTTAAAAAAAAAAAAAAATCTTTTATTGAAGGTTGATGTTTACTATTATTATTATTTTTTTTTTTGTATACCATGTTTATTATGTTTTTTTTTTGTTTTTCTTCTAATATTGTATAGTTTGGTGTTGTATTATGTAATATGTGCAGTAATATTTTGGTCGTCAACTTCTACTCATCATCATTCAACATTTGGAAGATTTGGATCTCCTAAGGGGGAGCATGTTCAAAACAGCACATGTTATCTCCTCATCAGTTCGTATTGATAACGTGTACCGGTTGAATGCGGAGGTAGTGGTGGTAATATTTGACCGTGAAAGTATATACTGCGGCCTTTGACAACACCGGACCAAACATTTTTCATGGTCCAGCAGTCTGTCGGCTGATTAGCTATGGTTGACATATGTTAATGTGCCTGTGCGCTACATGGTGTTATAATACCGTTTACATAATCGACGTACGCGTGTTTTTTTTCCCCTTTGTTACAATATTGTTGTTATCCGGCCTATTGAATAGAGCCGTGAAAGACTTAGTTAAAGTTGTAGTCTTATTAAATTTGGAGTTATTAGTGAAAGCTTGAACACCGGTTTATTCCGTGATTGTTATTGTCAAAGTTGAAGCTACCACAGGGAAGACATTCAAATCAGTAGATTGAACGAGTTGAGCCCTATGATATTACTGTATGTAAATTTATTTATAGTTTAATTTATTAATTGTAACTACATTTGTACTTGGGGACGCCCATTATATTTATTGATATTTATTTAGTATATTTATTATAAACAGAACAAGATACTATATTTTTTTATAATAAATACAAATAATAATTGTACGAATATCAATCTCTTTTATTTTATATTTGGGTATACATTTGTTTAATTCATTTGTTTCTTCTGTGTTGATTATTACCAGTCATACGAGCCAACCGTTATCGTAGGAGCCCGTTGGCTAACAATATAAGTTCCAATTGATTATTATTATCTTCTATCAAAAAATAAATGCCAATAAAGAGTATAAAACAAGAAATTAAATTAATTTTTTTGTAAAATAACTTGCAAGAATAATATATATATTATCATTTTAAACTCTAATTTTAATTGATATGCTAATGTTTTGCATAAGGTCCTAAATCTTAAATATTTAATGCAGAATCATTAGCTTTAACTTTAACTTATCGCTATTCACAAATTATTAAAACTAAAGAATAAAAATGATTAGAAAATATTTAAAACCTCGTTTACAAAGGATGAACGAAGTTTTAAATTATGTATGGTTTTAAGGTCTTTTATTAATTTTTAGTAATTATTTCAATTAAAGAATTATATAACTTTATCTACACATTTTTTTTTTTAATTTTAGTATAAATAGTATTTATGCATATAATAAGTCTGTGTTAAAATATTACGATCCAATTAAATTTAACTATAAAATAAAAAATTATGCTGTTTTGCAAAGACATTTGTTACATTAACACATAAAAACAAGGTAATATAATAAACTGGGAATGTATATATACAAGACATTGATGGATTATTTTGTTTTAATATTATTTCCCGAAAATCATTGATATGTTTTTAAAAATTGACTTGAACAAAATTTGAAATGTTTACACACACTGAAAAAACTTTTTATTTTACTCAATAATTATCTAGCAGTTATTAGTATATTTTAATATACTTATATTTCATATTCAAATTTCATATGAATATAGGTACAACTAAAATAAAATTATTACAGTTATAAAACAGTATAGAACAGTCTAAAGAAGAAGTATCTAACATAAACATTAATTTAACATATTTTGAAGCTATGAGTATTTCTGGAACATTTGCAAAAGTTAACTTCTCATACAATTGTTGCTATTTTGAATCTCTTTTTGTGGACAGAAAAGGTTCAGATTTTCAAAAAAAAGTATATATGCCTCATAAAAAGAAAATACCTAAGATGTTGATAATATAATGTGCATTGATTCATTAATGATCATATATATTACAATTAATATAAAACTCAGAAAATCAAAAGATTTTTTTGTAAAATCTTTTGATAAAAAGTTGAGTAATTATTTTTAGGTTTAATAGTCAACGACTAACTCAAATTTTTATATAAAAGTTCAATTTACATTACAAATAATACAAAAATAAATACTTCAAGAACTATAGAGATTTAATAATGAATTTTAGTTTCAATGCGTAGCTTTAAATCTATTGTTTTAACTCTGTTGTTTTTTTTTCTTTTTTGGTACTATATAATAACAAAAAACCGCACAATTGTGTATACAATTACCCCACTCCTATTGAGATCCTATAGTTTCGCTCATCGAAATATTAAAAGATGACAAAACATATGTATCTACACCATAATTTTGAATAGTTCTCTTCTATTTATGTAATAATAAGAAATGTTCTAAAAAATTACAGATGATTAAAATAGTCAAATTTAATATTTTTTTTTTAAATTATATTGTTTGAAAACTGAAAGATTATTGCGAAATTTTGATTGATAATATTTCAAACATTTAACTTGTCATCCTTTCTTAAATATCCAATCATTAACTGAAGTATTTACTTTAAAGTTATATTAAAAAAAAATTCTTTATATTTTTAATATTGTTAAAAAATATCTGGCTTCTTAAATTTAACATTAAATTAAAACTAATACAATTTACTATAAGATAAAAAAAGAAAAATTATTAGAATTTTCCATTTTAAAATGTTATTGAGCATTAAAAAATTGTATGATTTAAAAATCATATAATTTTGAAAATCTCTGATATTTGTAGTTTTTGCAAATAAACGGAATACTGGCTTTAATCTAAATTATTTCAATTTAATGCTTGTTTAATGTGATATATTATTAAAAAAAAAACATTATGGTAACTTGTCCTTTATGAATAATTAGCTTCTTACATCAAAAATCATGTATTTTTTGGTAAATATAATAAGTTTTTATTTAATTTATTTCATCTGTTAGATATCCATTAGTACTAACTTCAAATATGCATCAACTTCCCCACGCTAGATACTATCTGTTTTTTTTTCTTTCAACACATTTCATATAATGGTAAATTATAATTTTATTCTTTAAACTTGTATACTTCTTATAAATATTGAAAATATTTATGCAATTTAAAATAATTATTAAATAGGTCTTACCTTATTTTTAGAAATCAATGAATTTGTGATATGTATAGTACCTGGTGTATAGATATCTATTGCATAAATTAGAATGTAATTATATTATTATTATCATATAGGCTTATAACTTCTGACATTTGTATATATTTTCTCAAAAGCTCAAGTATACCTACATAGGTTATAAATTTAAATTAATAAGCTAAATAGAAAATTTTATGTTATTTCGAAGTTTAAATTTTATTTTGCTAAATTTGTTTTTCATGAGTTATTTCAAAACAGCAATAGAGAAAAATATTAGTGCGGTCAAAATATGTACATTTTTTTTTTGCTACTACTGTAACAAAAAAAGACATTTGGAACTACAGCACATATATATTTTTAATTTAACTTTTTAATATATATGATTACGTATATTTCTAGCTCATATTCAAAGACTTTATTCAGTGTTCATTTTAAAAACTCCGGTTTCGCTTTAGTACTAAAGGTTCTAACGCGTATTTCATTTCTCTGAAGAACGTCCGTATACCTTGTAAAATATAAGTCTTTGTTTTTTTTAATTTCACAAATGCACGCGAGTATTTAAGATGGACTTACATAATCAAAAAAATTACAGTTATATTTAATAAGAAACATTAATTTAATTGTAAGAGAATGAAAATTTAGTTCTACATGATCAAAAATACCAATGTATCAAAAACTATGTTTACAAAATAAAAACTGATAACAGTAAAGTAAAGTTGAGGAATATTTCAGACTAATGTTGATTAATATCTAACAGTAATTAAAATAACTGTCGTAAAACTCTTCGATGTATACTTGAAACATAAAAAAAAATTAACAAATCTATTAAAAATTATATAATTATTGACTTTAGAGAAGACTTTGCAAAAACTACAAAAGTCGGCATTTTTTATCAAAATTAACTAAGTATACATAAGTATTATAGTTTTCAAAAAAAAAATACACTTGGAAAATAATGTACTTTTTTTAAATATAACCATTGAAAATTTTATTTAAAACTGTTAATTTTACCAAAAATGTATAATATTCGGTAAAATAATAACTACTATAACTCCTAGAAATCAAAATTTTTGGAAAGATTTTCTTTTTTCATCTTATAGTACATTATATTAACTCTAACTTAATGTAGGTTTAGAAAAGGTAGATTTTTGAAACATTATTAAAAATTAATAAGAAAAATATCAGTATAATTAAGTAATAATCACCATTTTATGAACTATTTTTTAATTTTTTAAAATATATTTATTTATTTAAGGCTTTTACTTAAACCTTAAAAGCCAAAAAGTATAAGATAATGAAAATTCTATAATACAAATTGTTTAAAATTGTCTTAAAATAAACTTTTGCAGCACATCCATAAGGACACTAGGATTTTAAGGGTTAAATAGTGTATTTTTGTTTTATTATTAAAAGGATAAAAATTTATAACTTCGTTTATGCCCTCTTGAGAAATTTATAGAAATAGACTACACCGTTTTTCCTTGTACATTTCAAATGATATTAACATAATATTTCTGCAGTATTTATTAATATTAATATTATTTTTCAACTAAAATTTTATGATTAGTTTGAGTTGTTATAGAAGAATTGTCCATACATTTAGACTTGTAGGACCATTTTGTGTAAAAATTATATTATTAATAGTATTATTATCAACGAATATTTTTTATACTTTTATTAGCAATTCGAAAAGTAAAAACTATAACACTTAAAAAAAAAAACAATTTTAAATCGAATTAATAAAGAAATAATAAATGATAATATTTATTTATTAGCCGTTATTGATGGGACTTAAGATAAATAAAATTCAAGGAATATTATTTTAAATTAACTTCTTACTAAAAAGTTTCATTTGACTGACATTTTACTAAGAAACACTTATAGAGTTGATGATATCTGTCAAAAATTATTTTGCTAACGAGATTTCTACCAAAATTTATCAAAAGATTATAAAGAAAATTTTGTTCAATCGTTTCTTGTTGAGTGTAATGTAAAAACCAGATTCACCTGAATTGTATATAATACATATAATTAGACAAAAATGTTAATATCGAAATTTTTATTTTTTATTATCTATTTGTCGGTTATCATGATTATATTCAATAACAATAATTGAAAATATTATGTATTATGAAGAAACGTGAAATTGTGATAAACTAAATTTTCTAGAGTTATTTGATATTATGATGTAAACACTGATGTTTCACAAAAAAAAACACTTTCTTTTATATTGGAGTATACGCTGATATGCGAACGTATTTCCTTTAATATAAATAGTATGTAAATATTATTTTTTTAGGGTATGTATTAATGAAAAAAATTGTTATTAGGTATACTCCGTATACCCTTCAAAATACCATTGAGTATAAATACTAGTATACTGCAGAAACAGTCGCAAAAAGTGAAATAAATGATTCAATAGTGTCGACATAAATTTATTTATTTTTTAAATTATTTTCGTTCCTAATCTCATTTTACATATTATGCTACTGTTGTGATTTCCATAAATTATCATATTTTCTATG